CGTCCCGGATGCTGGCTATAAATAAAGGGGGGCCGACTTCCGGCGACAAGTGAATCCCATCCTCCTCGTATGGATCTGCGACTGGTTGCCAAAGTCCGGCTCTGTAACGCCAAAAACTCAGCTTGGGAGTTTCCTGACATAAATTCATGATCGCATCGTTTGTTCGGGTAATATTGCTATTATCGTCTTCATACGGAACCGTCTGTTGCGGCAACAATTGTGAAATAATCACACATTTTGGCGACCAACCACTGTGAATATATCTCACCCGTAGTCCGCCATAACCCCAGCATCTCACATTACATAAACGGTAATCTAACCCTAAATTAAAATTATTATAAAACGTAAGGTGCTTCGCTAATCGCTTAATATACGACGTACCAAAAATAGCCACCTTTATCGGTCTAGATACCGGAAAGGAAAGTTGCAAGCCGGTAACGCTAAATAATGGTGCCGAACGTTCCATTCGTACCTTGCAGACAAACACAAAGAGAATCAAAACGAGGCTCTAATGGTGGAGCACGTACCAAGAATTCTGAAACAATTACAAAGTTCCACAGTCGTGAAAAAGTATACGTAAAACCAAGTGAACAAAAAAATTGTAAAACAAATTACTTAGCTGGTAGAACAGTCGTAATAAAAGACCAAAAATCACAGTATTGAAATTCCGCAATAAAATTTTTCTGGATTACTTTCAGACCACACTAAGCACCACTTGACTCTACGACTGCGTTTGCTGGAATGTTGGAAGCACGATTAAAAAGGCGGGAAATCCTAGCTGGCTCATTTGCATAATATAATCAAGCAGTAAATAAAGGGGAATAATCTGATTGGATAAAAAACACAAATTACATTATTTACAATAATGCTTATATCTGAGCGGTAACGGAATTACGAATATTAGAATACCATCATTTCTATTGTTCTTATAACAAAATTACAAATTATTTAGAGGATAAAGTTAAAAGCAACACTTTATTTAATAATTATAAAACATTAGACCCATTTATGCTAACTCTTTTCAGTAAAACAAACTACAAAGCATTTTTCTGAACACAAAATGCAAAAAGTGACTAACAACTGTACCAAATTTAAAGTTATCCTGGTGGTTACACATTTCTAAGCAAGGTGTGGTTTCAATGTGTATTACATTGATATATCATATTAATATCTTTATTCATATCAAGTTTGCATGTTTGCAACAGTGTTGCAACATTGCTGAGACTCAAGTTCATTCATGCTGTCAGAATCTGACAGTACCTGACCTTCTCTAATTTTTCTGGAAACACTGAAATCTTATTAAAATAATTAAATCTATTTAGTTTATTGGTTTTGAAAATTATTTGTGTTAACAAATTGATTAAACTGACACAGTAGTACCATTTTCATGCTTTAATAACTGGTCCAAGGTAACGGAATTACATTTAGGGCTATTTAGCTATGAAAAACAGCTTAATGATTGATACTTTTTGCTTTTTGTTGTCAAATCTGTAAAAATAGTTAAATATCAAAAGGCAATTTTTATAAAATATAAACATATTGTCCACTGGCTCTAACATATGATTTTGAAGCTCTATAAGTAACCTCGTCAAGTCGGACTGTGTCACTCAAATTGTCTGATCTAAATACCGTTTTAAGAAAAAGTGAGTAATTATAAAAATGTACAATAATCAATCAACTAAATTGAATTGATTTTTTGATGTTACCAGTATGTCATAATCTTTTATTATAAACTAAACCGTTATTTGTATCAAGTTAATTATTGGATTTACAATTATGTGTATCTTACGGCCATACTTTTAGATTTACTGAATTCATACCAAAATATAATTATAACCATTGTTGAAATATTCTCAAAATTGGTTAATTATATAAAATTTTCTTTTTGAAATATTTTATTTTGATAAACCTTTGTTATAACACTTTTATTTAGAAACGTAATTCCGTTACCATGACATGTAATTCCGTTACCACAGAAAATAATCACTTGTCACAAAATTATCGGACAGGTTTCAAAATGGATGAGCTGAAATATTCCACAGAACATTACTTTATATCCTATTTTTAAGAAATGTAGATCTGTCTGTATAAATCACAGTTTCTTAAATAACCACAACCATCTAAATGAGGGGTTTTTGACTTGTAATTCCGTTACCATGAGGTTCACCTACACAGACACTTTATACGTTCATGCAGCAAGTCAGTGGTTATTTTTTTAGAGAAAATATGCCTGTTAGCTTTCACCCTAGTACAGATTTTACAACAAAGTAGCCAAGGGTAAAAATCTGTTAGTTGTTTTACAGTACCAAATAGTTCTAAATGTAATTCCGTTACCGTGGAATTGCCCTGTAGCTTAAGTGCACTGTTCAAACACGTCTACAATTATAGTAAAAGTTGTAGTAAAATGGCTTCCAACGATAAAAGGACGAGTACAATATGGAAATATTTCGATCTAACTCTAAGCGACTGCAAGGCCGTTACAAAATGCTCTTTATGTCAAGCAACCTTAAATTATTATGGGAACACATTGAACATGAGAAACTATATTAAACATTTACACAAATCAGTAAGTTTGAACGAACAATCGACATCGTCCTTGGCGGGCTCGTCGTCGACATCGACACAGTCGTGCATTACAAATTTCACAAGACAAAAACTTTTGCCTGTAAAAACAGACATAACTAGAACTGCAAAGCAGTAATGACGGGTTTCACCGGTGCCACGTTACCCTTGAACTTATGTCACTCTCGGTGCCACGTTATCCTTAAACATATGTCACTTCTGGTATAAATGAAACCGTTTAACAGATTTCCACAAATAGATGCAGAATCAACCAAATCTAGCAATATCAAGTGCATCTATACATTTGTTACCACGTGTTACATATGTCAAAAAAGTGATCCTGATAAAAATTTGTTACTAACTTACCGATAAGTTAGCTAACTTTCTAATGGGAAATTAAAATGGGAAAAAAATCTGTAAAAGTCATCCCGACAAAATTGGTTATTTCTCGACAAGGGAAGATGCTAGAAGCCATTTTTATACGCCCACTTTTTCATGTGGACCCTATAGAGGTCATAATTTTTATCTGATTTAAAAAAAACGTATTATTATATCACCGTTAACCCCTAAGGACGGCTGAGTTCGAATTTCGTGAAAATCGGCCGAAAACTGACAGACAAAATGGCCGTCGTTCGTTCTCAAATAGCGTAAAAATATGGTATATCAAGGTTGTTGAATCTTGTGAATGCTCTAATGACAATAGTTATTATCCGATCTGTTTGAAATTGATATGCATCATTTAAATTAGTGAAACAAAGAAGCCTATTGAATTTCAGCAATTTCCGTTAATTACGCCATGAGTTATGGCCCTTGTTTTACTTTGTTGTACCTTGTGAATGTACCTTGTGAACGACAAAAGTTATTATCCGATCTGTATGAAATTTATAAACATCATTTAAATTAGTAAAACAAAGAAGCCTATTGAATTTCAGCAATTTCCGTTAATTACATCTAGAGTTATGGCCCTTGTTTCACTTTGTTGAATCTTGTGAACGCTCTAATGACAACAGTTATCATCCGATCTGTTTCTAATTGATATCTGGCATTTAAATTAGTGCAACGAAGAAGCCTATCGAATTTCAGCAATTTCCGTTAATTACACTGTGAGTTATGGCCTATGTTTCACTTTGTTGTACCTTGTGAATGCTCTAATGACAAAAGTTATTATCCGATCTGTATGAAATTTATATGTATTATTTAAATTAGTAAAAGGAACAAGCCTATTGAGTTCCAGCAAATTTCTGTTAATTACATCTAGAGTTATGGCCCTTGTTTAAAGGAACTAAATCGCTAATATTTGGGACCTAGAAATTGACACAAGTGGGTCGCAACTCATATAATACCGTAATATGAATGTATATAAACTGATTTACATTCAATCGTTTCCGTTTTTACTCTTAATTTCAAATCAGTTATGTTCCATGAAATAAGCCAGCAGTCTCAATCGAGTGCAAATTCTTAGCGTCTGGTTATTCCAGTCTACATAAGCCGTTTGGTTTGGTGCAATATGTCTAGCCTCGTTCCTCTAGTCTCTTGCTAGAACTGGGGCTGAAACGCATTATGGTACACAATTCATGTACCAATGGTAAAATATTTATTTTGTCTTATAAATATTGGATATCAGAAGCCCACCCTTTTCCGGTAAGATTACAGCATCAATGTTGTTTTAAATTGACAAATAATTTGTGTTTTAAATGTTGAAGATTTTGGATGATATTGAGTTAAAGACTTAGCTCCTTTAACTTTGTTGAATCTTGAGAAAGCTGAACAACAAAAGTTATCACCTAATCTGTATGAAATTCATATGCATCATTTGAATTAGTAACATGAAGAAGCCTATTGAATGTCAGCAATTTCCGTCAATTACTTTTAGAGTTATAGCTCTTGTTTTACTTTGTTGAACCTTTTGAATGACAAAAGTTATCATCCGATATGTATGAAATTTATATGCATTATTTGAATTAGTAAAACGAAAAAGCCTGTTGAATTTCAACAATTTCTGTAGATTACTTCCAGAGTTACGGCCTTTGTTTTAGTTTTTAAAACCTTGTGAACCCTCAAATGACGAAAATTATAATGTCATCTGTATGATATTGTCTATTAAATTCCCCTAATGACCTACAAAAGAATAATTATGTGACAACCCTTGTCGACTGCTCGGACGATTTAGCTGCTGTGGGCGTATGTTTTGTTGCCTGGCAACCTATCTTTTCGTAAAGTCTGGACGATACCCGGTCCCTAGTGTGAGTTGGTTGTCAGTATTGGCTAATTTGCCCCCAAAAATGTATGTATTCAGATTATGAAATGTCAGTAATAAATTAAATATCAACAAAGTAATGTTATAACTTATAATCTATACGGTTAACAATACATTACTTTACTAGATCTAAGATATTATAATTAATGTATGTGTGATAATTATACTTTTATTTTTGTAGAAATTAATTAAAGACAGTAAATCTGTGGATGAAATATGGCTATGTGCTGCTATAGAGATCCAGAGAAGATGGAGGGGTTATAGGGGAAGGTGTGTTTCTTTTTACATTTTCTACAATGAAATCATGCTAAAAATATTATCTAAATGGATGAAGCTGTCTGTATTGTTAGTAAAAGTCTGGAAATGATTTTGGATTATGCATCACCATTGTAAATCTAGTTTGAGAAACATGCTCTAATCCTACATTTCTGACTGTACATCGGATCAGATCATAACATGATTACTCGGAAAATTCTCCCCAAAATAGAATTCAATAGAATGGAAATGGGTCATTCCATGTCAAGTGGACCAAATTTCGGAAAGTTGGGAACATGACCCCTTCCAAAAAATTATAAAAAATATAGTATATGGACTTAAACATACATTATGCAAGAGCTAAATCTGTCTATTGCAGGTCTTTCTTTAGGCCTGAAATGTTATCTAAATTATTAATTAGACATGAATTAACCTATCCAGACCATAATCAACTCTATATGGCATCGCTAGCCTGCGATCTTTAGTGGATTGTGAGCCGTTTACTGCATAACTCTCCTTCACAATTTAACAATTAAATGGATAATCGATACTATGCTGTTTATCGTACTGACTTTAGTAATGATGATCGAGGCTAGGCGGAAATTTCATTCGCTTAGTTTTTGGTTCATAGTGGATCAATTTGAATGAAATTTTCAGCAAATTGCCTATACATTATCTAGTTTTGATACGCCCACATTTTCATGTGGACGTATATTGTCGTCCGTCCACAATTTGTTTGTGGACTATTTACAGGTGACAATTGTTGTCCGATTTTGACGAAACTTGAAATATAGGTTTATCCCCAAAAGATCTCGGCAGCTTTCAATATTGGCATGTATCGGATCGAAACTTCATGGAATGTGGCCCCTGTTTATACGAAAAATCACGTTTTTAGCTTGTGGACACTCTTATCACATTTTGACGAAACTTGAAATATAGGTTTATCTCCAAAACATCTCGGTTGCTTTCGATATTGGCATGTATCGGATTGTAACTTCATGGATTATGGCCCCTGATTTTAAGAAAAATCAAGTTTTTAGCTTGTGGACCCTAAAGAGGTTATAATTTTTATACGCCCACATTTTCATGTGGACGTATATTGTCGTCGCCCCTGTCGGTCCGTTCACAATTGTTTGTGAACAGTATACAGGTCACAATTTTTATCCGATTTCAACGAAACTTGAAATATAGGTTTATCCAGGGGGAAATTGTAAAAAAAAAATGCAAACAGCAACTGGGGGGTGGGGTGGGTCTGTCAGCCGAAAAAGGTGCATGAAAAAGTGCATTTCCGGGTAAGAAAATTGGGTGGTCTGAGTTCTGCAAGAAAATAAGCATTTCCGGGTAAGAAAATTGGGTGGTCTAACAGAGTTCTGCAAGAAAAAAAGCATTTCCGGGTAAGAAAATTGGGTGGTCTAACAGAGTTCTGCAAGAAAAAAAGCATTTCCGGGTAAGAAAATTGGGTGGTCTAACAGAGTTCTGAAAGAAAATTAGGAGGTATAATGGGTCCCTGCAAGAAAATTGCATGAAACGGGATACGAAGTGTTTCAGTTCATATCAATAACAACTCCATCAAAATAGAATCGTATTTCCGTTTTTACCGTGGTGTGTCGAATTAGTGGTCAAATCCAATCGAAGATAAATTCAATTTTAAAATGCTTGATGAGTCTTGGGTCGCTGGTAAATAAATTATGAAAGAAAATGCTATTCGAATATTTCAAATAAAATATTTTTAACGTCTGAAGATTTTTAAAAAGATTAGTAAATTAGCCTTAGTGTGGCCTTTTTGACCGGTAGTGCCAGTCGTGAATGAATTAGTTACGGCCTGTTACCCGAGACTACACAGGGATAACTCTTGGCAACAACCGGCGACAATGATGGCTACACTTTCGAAGTTTTGATAACTTTAACATGGGTGAGTTTTTAGCCTTTATTATTTTATTTGCAGACTGTCAACACAATTTTATTGCTAGTTCTTGTTCAGAGAAGAGCAGTTCTTGCATACACCCCTCAGAATACCCTATAAAACTATGTGATGCCTAGGATTCAAGTGGTTGCGATGTGTCACGGTCCATGTATATCGTTCTGACGTGTTGTCAATCATTGTCATTGTCAATTTTTGCATAATTTCCCGTTATCCTAGGCCCAAATCAGCTGCTATTTCACCTCCCCTAGTGACTATATTTTCAAACAATTTCTTGAGACTAATGATTCATTATCAGGCGGATCATGTTATTCAGAATTTGGGCAAACTTTGATTTAAATTGTCCACTTTAAAGTAAACACTGCAGAGACTCCCAGAGTGCAAAAAAACAAAACAAAATTGTCCACACTGCTTAGTTACGAATAATTTATGATGCCTGTTTATGACTGATTTTCTTCTGTTTTATATATTTCAGAGATGTGTTTGGATGAAGTTTGAAAATAGTGTGAGGGTCATTTGAGCAAAATTTCTTGAAGATATTTGTCAATAAAGATTTGGGTTGAGGAAGATGGCTGAGCACAAAATGAAAAAAAAGTACACTGTAATATTTATATACGCAGTTATTCGCTTTGCTAAAACAGAGGGGAGTTATATATTGTCCAATCGACAGTGTCTAATCCACCAACCAAAACGCAAGATTCACAAGCATGTTACAATGCTGTGTCGATACTGGTTTTTTCCCTGTCTCGGAAGTGGTGTTTGGTAACTATGTTTTTAGGACAATTGTGATACTTAAGTGAATGGTGAACTTTGTGTCGTAAGGTGAAGACTGTGATTAACTTTATAGTGAACTTTAATTTCGTGAAAACCCATGCTTTCTAACATGGCGGATCTCCATAGACATCGTGAACCGTGAACTCTGTGAACCATGAACTCTGTGAACCATGAACTCTGTGAACTGTGAATTCCGTGACTCGTGAACTCTAATTATTGAATTAGAACTGTCAACAAAGAAAGCTGTCAACTTGTTTATGTTTGTACTGTAACTCCTATTTCTTGTATATGTTTATTTACATAAATATTCATTAATATTTCAAAGCCTTATCATTTCATTCAAGTGTTATCCGGTGATTTGATCGACTGTTGTCCTGTCAATTTGGTTTGCCAGCCCATTCCAAATAAACACGTCGTGTGGAGAGGGTTAACATCTTTTTTACCTACAACACCGCAGCATGCCGAGATTAGATTTGGGTAATCTTTTACTTCTTCACACTCTGGTCAAAATTGGTCAACCTGTGATCAGTAGATTTGAGTGGATATGGGAAAGCACAATAAATGAATAGGTACAAGCCTAAGTTCATATATTTTAGCCTGTCTCTGCATATGGGCATTCTTAGACTATCGTTGCTAATAATTCAGACTCAGAATTTTGTAGAACATCAACTCAATACAAATACTGTATTTATAACATATCGTCTTGTCATTTGTTCTATTACTCAGCCTTTAGTAGTTAGGTATTGCACATACTTTTGGGTGGTCTAAAATGAGATATTTCAAGAAACACATTTTCTTGCACAAGATTTTAGGGTGGTCTAATAAGCAACTGTGAGGAACACATTTTCTTGCGCATGATTTTTGGGTGGTCAATTAAGCAACTGTGCAGAACACATTTTATTGCGCAAGATTTTAGGGTGGTCTTTCTTAAAAATGATGGTGCATTTTTTTTTACGCAAGATTTTAATGGGTGGGTGGTCTACCCAGGTCCAGTGCATATTTTTCGACTTGACGTATGATGTTTTTTTTACTACTGCCCCCCCGGGTTTATCACCCTAAGATCTCGGTTCCTTTCGATATTGGCATGTATCGGACTGTAACTTCATGGATTATGGCCCCTGATTGTACGAAAAATCACGTTTTTATACGCCCACATTTTCATGTGGACGTATATTGTCGTCGACCCTGTCCGTCCGTCCACAATTGTTTGTGAACAGTCTACAGGTCACAATTTTTATCCGATTTCAATGAAACTTGAAATATAGGTTAATCACCCTAAGATCTCGGTTCCTTTCGATATTGGCATCTATCGGACCGTAACTTCATGGATTATGGCCCCTGATTGTACGAAAAATCACGTTTTTGGCTTGTGAACACTGTAGAGGTCACAATTTTGATCCGATTTTGTTGAAACTTGAAATGTAAGTTTATAACCCAAAGATCTCGGTTCCTTTCGATATTCGCGCATATCGGATCGTAACTTCCTGAATTATGGCCCCTGATTGTACGTAAAAATGTGTTTTTTGGCTTGTGGACCCTATAGAGGTCATAATTTTTATCAGATTTAAAAAAACGTATTATTATACCACCGTTAAACCCTAAGGATGGTTAAGTTCGAATTTCGTGAAAATCGGCCCAAAACTGACAGACAAAATGACCGCCGTACGTTCTCAAATAGCGTAAAAATATGATATATCAAGGTTGTGGACCCTATAGAGGTCACAATTTTTATCCGATTTTGTTGAAACTTGAAATGTAAGTTTATAACACAAAGATCTTGATTCCTTTTGATATTCGCAATTATCGGACCGTAACTTCATGAATTATGGCCCCTGAGTGTATGCAAAAACGCATTTTTTGGCTTGTGGACCCTATAGAGGTCATAATTTTTATCTGATTTAAAAAACCGTGTTAATATATCACCGTTACACCCTAAGGGTGACTGAGTTTGAATTTCGTGAAAATCGGCCCAAAATTGACATACAAAATGGACGCCGTTCGTTCTCAAATAGCGTAAAAATATGGTATATCAAGGTTGTGGACCCTATAGAGGTCACAATTTTTATCCGATTTTGTTGAAACTTGAAATGTAAGTTTATAACACAAAGATCTTGGTTCCTTTCGATATTCGCGCATATCGGACCGTAACTTCATGAATTATGGTCCCTGATTGTATGCAAAAACGCGTTTTTTGGCTTGTGGACCCTATATAAGTCATAATTTTTATCTGATTTAAAAAAACCGTGTTAATATATCAACGTTACACCATAAGGACAGCTGACTTTGAATTTCTTTAAAATAGGCCCAAAACTGACAGGCA